ATTTTCTTATATGAATTGGAATTGTTTGTGGGTCTTTTTTGGTTTTTGTAGGGACATAGATTTCTATAAGCCAATTTATAAGGTCCTTAAACCCAGTAAATATCTCGTTAACATTTGTATAACTACTAAAGAAGGTAATCCAGTCTATGCTACTTAATTCTTGATTGATCTGTTCAAAATCCGCTTTAAAAAACTGTTTGTGAGTAGTTACGGGTTTTCTATGGTAGAGATTTTCATAAATATCAAAGGGGTTGATATGAATAACTGGGGTTGATATCACATGAATAACTGGGGTTGATATCACACTGGGGTTGATATGAATAACTGCTTAATTGCCCTATGTATCAGGGATGGAGAATTTTGAATTTTAAAAAGCGGAAGGTGGAACGAGGAAGCGGATCCAGCCCCTGCGTATGTATGCCCTTCGTTAAAATTGTGGCTATTTCCGATTATAGCGAAATTTATCAAAATATTAAAAGAAAAATTTGTGTTTTGCTTAAATATTCTTTTCTTTTTTTCTTTTTAAATTTTGTTTCCTTCTGATTAATTAATTTTATTTTTAATTAAACAAGTTGAGGCTTTAATTGAATTAATCCCAAAATTGCTTTTTCGTTTAAATGTTTGTGGAAATTATTTTTTGAAATTAAAAAAATTAATTTAAATTTTAAAGAAAAGGAATATAATTGATAAAAGATATTCTTTGTTAATTTTTGGTGAAGACAAAAACTTTTTAAATCAAATAAAAATAAATAAAAATAAGGTATTTATTAAATAATTAATTAATTAAAAATTTAAAGTTTTTATTCAACAAAATTTATCATGTTTTGGATTTGAGTTTGTCTAGAGGAGGGGAATTATATTTTGCAAGAGAATATTGTGATGCTCTTTTTCTTACTGCTCCACTATCTTCTTTTGCATTTTGGATGGGGTATTTAATGCCGAATGTAATATTAAATTTTAAATAATTTTAAATTTTGATTGTCTGATTTTTTTATTGGATATCTCTGTCAAAACTCGTAGTTTTGACAGAGATATACATATATACATTTGACAGAGGTATCGATAAAATCGCAAGTGCTTCCGTAATTTCAAAATTCCGTCGATCACGAAGATTGTAAAAACTCTTGGTTTTTGGCAGGATCCTTTAAATTTCCAGAAGGGGTTTTAGTAATTGCTTCTTAATAAATAATTACTAAACAGCTCTTAATTACGAAGACTAACTTCATTATAAATATCCTAATAGTCAGACATTTTTTAAATTAACTTTCTTAAATCATACTTCCTCTCTAATTTGTAAGAGACGATAGACTTCCAAAGACTTTCATAAATTAATTTAATTTTAAACCAGCTCAGGGATAAATAGCTGAATGGGTTTTATAGCTTTAAAATTTAGTTACGTCGGGGAAGCGTTTGTTATAATTTGAGGCGCGTCCATGAACGCGCATGAAAGCCTGCGGCTTTAAAGCTGTGCTAGGTTTATTATTTGCTTGGAGATTTACGTATCATTTGAAGTTTTTTTGAAATTAGATTTTGAATCCTTTTAGATGGGCGTCGCATTGGTCCCCTCCTTTTAGATGGGCGCGCGTCGGGCCTTCGGCCCTCGCCCACACTTTTAGATGGCGTCGCATTGGTCCCCTCCTTTTAGATGGGCGCGCGTCGGGCCTTCGGCCCTCGCCCACACTTTTAGATGGCGTCGCATTGGTCCCCTCCTTTTAGATGGGCGCGCGTCGGGCCTTCGGCCCTCGCCCACACTTTTAGATGGCGTCGCATTGGTCCCCTCCTTTTAGATGGGCGCGCGTCGGGCCTTCGGCCCTCGCCCACACTTTTAGATGGCGTCGCATTGGTCCCCTCCTTTTAGATGGGCGCGCGTCGGGCCTTCGGCCCTCGCCCACACTTTTAGATGGGCGTCGCATTGGTCCCTTCATTTTAGATGGGCGCGCGTCGGGCCTTCGGCCCTCGCCCACACTTTTAGATGGGCTTCGCATTGGTCCCCTCCTTTTAGATGGGCGCGCGTCGGGCCTTCGGCCCTCGCCCACACTTTTAGATGGGCGTCGCATTGGTCCCCTCCTTTTAGACGGGCGCGCGTCGGGCCTTCGGCCCTCGCCCACACTTTTAGATGGGCTTCGCATTGGTCCCCTCCTTTTAGACGGGCGCGCGTCGGGCCTTCGGCCCTCGCCCACACTTTTAGATGGGCGTCGCATTGGTCCCCTCCTTTTAGATGGGCGCGCGTCGGGCCTTCGGCCCTCGCCCACACTTTTAGATGGGCTTCGCATTGGTCCCCTCCTTTTAGATGGGCGCGCGTCGGGCCTTCGGCCCTCGCCCATCCTTTTAGATGGGTGTCGCATTGGTCCCCTCTTTTTAGATGGGCGCGCGTCGTGCCTTCGGCCCTCGCCCACACTTTTAGATGGGCTTCGCATTGGTCCCCTCCTTTTAGACGGGCGCGCGTCGGGCCTTCGGCCCTCGCCCACACTTTTAGATGGGCGTCGCATTGGTCCCCTCCTTTTAGATGGGCGCGCGTCGGGCCTTCGGCCCTCGCCCACACTTTTAGATGGGCTTCGCATTGGTCCCCTCCTTTTAGATGGGCGCGCGTCGGGCCTTCGGCCCTCGCCCATCCTTTTAGATGGGCGTCGCATTGGTCCCCTCCTTTTAGACGGGCGCGCGTCGGGCCTTCGGCCCTCGCCCACACTTTTAGATGGGCGTCGCATTGGTCCCTTCATTTTAGATGGGCGGTCGTCGGGCCTTCGGCCCTCGCCCACACTTTTAGATGGGCGTCGCATTGGTCTCTTCATTTTAGATGGGCGCGCGTCGGGCCTTCGGCCCTCGCCCACACTTTTAGATGGGCGTCGCATTGGTCCCTTCATTTTAGATGGGCGCGCGTCGGGCCTTCGGCCCTCGCCCTCCCCCTTCCCCACCGTTGGACCCATTTTTCCAATTTGGGTCATTTCGGACCTTCGGCTCTCGTCCCTCCCTCCTTCCCACCGTTGGGACCCATTTTTACATGTTGGCGCACTATGGGCCTTCGGCCCTCTTCCCCCCACCCCTTCCCCACCGTTGGGCCCATTTTTACAAGTTGGCGCACTTCGGGCCTTCGGCCCTCGCCCCCCCTCCCTCCCCGCCGTTGGGACCCATTTTTGGTCACTTCGGTCTCGCCACCTCCCCATCGTTGGGACCTATTTTTGGTCACTTCGGTCTCGCCACCTCCCCATCGTTGGGACCTATTTTTGGTCACTTCGGTCTCGCCACCTCCCCATCGTTGGGACCTATTTTAGGTCACTTCGGGCCTTCGGCCCTCGTCTCCCTCCCTCCCCACCGTTGGGACCCATTTTGGGCCACTTCGGTCTCTCCCCCTCCCCATCGTTGGGACCCATTTTGGGTCACTTCGGTCTCTCACCCGCCACATCATTGGGACCCATTTTGGGTCACTTCGGGCCTTCGGCCCTCGTCCCCCTCCCTCCCCACCGTTGGGACCCATTTTGGTCACTTCGGGCTTTCGGCCCTCGTCTCCCCCCTCCCCACCGTTGGGCACCATTTTGGGTCCCAACGTTTTGGTTACGCCACTGGGTATAGTACCACCCACACCCGAAATTTCGACCTTTTGTAACTTTGTACAAAATGGTCAGAAAATTTCGGAAAAAATATTTTTAAGCTCAACTCGATGAGAGCTTTCGATTGATATAACATTTGGCCCATCTGTGTCCATTTTGCAAAAATTATTTTTTTGGCCGAAAATTTTGGCCGTAAAAATCGCCGAAATTTTCAAAAAATCATAACTTTCTCAAAGTTAATCTTTTTTAATAATTTTAAAAGCTCATTCTATGCAGAAAAATCTTCTCTATCAAGAAAAAATACCTATGCCCCTTACCGCCGGCAAAAATCTCGAAATTTTTTCGAAAAACCGAAAAATTTTGGGTTTTTCGAAATTCGACCCCTACACCTCCAATTTCGAATTTTCTCGAAATTTTCTTCGGTGAAAAAATACCCAATTTTTTACTCGATTTTTAAAAGGAAACCCCATCCCAATCCGATAATCCCAAAAAAAGTTAAGGTCCCCTAAAAAATCCCGAAAATTCCCCAAAAGGGGGTACCCCTTTGGAAATAGGGTGGGGGACAAAATTTTGGAATTTTGGGTCAAAAATAGGCCTATATGGTACTCTGACATGCGCTGAGTACGAATCCGGCCTCGAAAAAATTTTAAAAAATTTCCCCGGGACGTTAGAGTCTCATAAAGTTTTGCGACATTTGGCCACATTCGCTATAACTTTTTAAGACTCAAGTGGACCCCCAACATATTATACCTTTTTCGGTGCCCCACGGGACGCTCTTTCGAACTGGCTATCGAAAACGCGTTTGAATTCACGTTACAAAAAGTAGGTTTTTCAACCCCGACTCTTTGACCCATATGACCCTCAAAACTTCATCTGAGACTCAAGTGGTCAACACCCGATAACTTCCCAACACTCTACCCTCCAACATCACTCCCAGGCCCAAGAACCCCACACTTCTCAAAAACCCGTTATAAGCCTTTGAAATTTTTATCCGGCCATTTCAGTGCCACACTCGAGTGCGGCACAAAAATGGCCATGCCCATTAAATTTCTCATGGCCGTTTACCTAATACTCCCAGGTCCCATCCAAATCTGCGGCGTGGTTTCAGAGATATAGAAATTGTACAAAAGACCGCTACCCAATGGCGCGACATTTGACCACCATTTAAAAAGGGTTACAACGGCATATCGTATCTTAGAGTTCGAATTTTTTCGAAATTTTTTTTTTATTTGACATCTACAAAATGCGGGGCATCCGCCTCTAAGCAAAAGTTTTTGGCTATCTCTTTCGGTTCACGAGATAGCCAAGTCCTAGGGGTTGTTTCGGCGCGAAGGCGCCGGCGCAGGGAAAAATCAATAATTATTTCGGATGCGCCTGATAAAGTACCTGAGGCAATGTGGAACTTTCAGGGACCTTGAAGCAAAACTGTGACCCCTAGAGTTTTTTTAACGAAACTCAAAACTTCTTTATATATATATAACGGCCAACTCTAATTTTTAATTTTTCATAAATATAATTAAATAAAAATTCATCAATTTTCTTCTTTACCAATTCCTTTGTTTTTTCCTCATATTTTTTATTTAATTCCATACAAAAACATTCCTCGGGTATTTTACTACATTCATTAAAAATTTCAAATAAATCCATTAAAATCTCCAAATTTTCCCATTTTGTATTTAAATATTCGAAAGTAAACATTGATTCGAGTAATTCAATTAATGCAAGAAAATTGAGAAAAATGTTAATTTTGTTTACAACAATATCAGAATTGTAGACATTAACTCTATTTTTATCTAAATTTTTAAAAAATTTATTTATTTAGTAGTAGTAGTATTTCAGACCTGCCCAATGGATTAGGATATGTATACAGATAATATCAAAATTCCTGCGGATATCCGTCTGTATTCGCCGTAAATATGCGGATACGGATACCAAGATCAGTATCCGTGACCAGGTCTGGTATATTTAGATAAATTTCACTTTTTAGGACAAAAACAAGTATTTTGTCTTAAAAAACCAAAATATAGCTTAATTAAATACATTCAGACTTCATAGTAACACCTTTAGAGTTGCAATTTATCAAAAATAAATTTTTTTTGATAAAAAAGGAAGCGTTATTACCCCTAGTAATCCACCTACATTTAGTGCAAGCAAATCATCGAGGAGTAAGTAACCCCAGCCAATTCTTGGACTATAGCTTCAGAGCCCGTACTCAGAGACTACGGGTTCAGACTACGGGCTCTTTAAACCCCCCGCACTATTTCACGAGGGCGTAATTTATAAGGGTTACTTAACCCTTAGCATGAATTACGAATTACCGAAGAGCCCATATAATTATATTAATTTTCTAAAAAAATATTTACAGGCAAAATTATCCTTCAATTCGATACCAAAATCTAAAAGTATCATTTTATATCTACTTAAAAACATTTCCCAATTTTGTTTTTCTTTTTTATCAATTATATTAGGTCCAATTTCAATTAATTCTTTATAATATTTATTTTCCCCAATTATCTCCAAATATTTATTTTTTTCTCCATTATTTTTAATTTTTTCATAAATTTCTTTTGCCATGTTTAATAATTTAAAATAAAATTTTCTAGCTTTAATTGGATTTGAAAAGTAAATATTTCCATTAATTTCCCATTTATCATTACCACATTTTTCTTTCATTTTTTTATCCAATATTTTTTTAATTTCTTCAACATTTATTTTTTCGTCTATTTTTCTAGAAAGAAATAAAAATTGAAGAAACGAGTTAAGATTGAGATGATATTTTTCGGTATTCAGTATAGAATCCGATTCTAATCGAGGCCAGACTTAAATCGAACTCGATAATCGAGTGAACCAGAGTTGGGCTGCCGACGTAAAATCGGGATTTTGAAATAATGATCCCGGTCCCGACTCCCGGATCAGGATTGGCTGAAATCGGGATTCAAAAAACTGGGAAAATCCCGCCCGACCCCGCCCAAGTCTATTTTGAACTACACTAATATTTATAAAAAAATTTTTATTTTGTGGAGCAGTGTATTTGAAATTCCAAACCTTTGTTTTAAACTAATTTTCCGTCTATGAAGTATTATTTTCACAGTATTGTAATGGATTTTATAATATTTAGTTAAGTTATCCATACTAACATATCCATATAAAAATAAAACACAAAATCCTTGTTCGATTGTATCCTAATTTTTAAAAATTTTTAATTAAAGAATGAGGATAAAAATGATCGGGATTGTCCGATTTTTTAGGATCTCATATAATGAGATTCCCACATAAAGTAATCAACTAAACTAAAAAACATGGAAAATGGAGCGTATCTGGGTATTGTGCTGTCTTGGACCGTTAGAAATCTATGATATTTTGACATAAAATTATTGTAACAATCTAAATTGGAAATATACATAGGTATGAGAATTGAGAGACAGGCCCGTAACCAGGATTTTTTTCGAGGGGGGGGGGGGATTTCGCCACCCCCTACCCCCTACCGACCCCCTACCCCCTACGGGCCTATTGAGAGAGATAGATATACATATATGTATGTCGCAATCCAAATTAAATTCTTGTCAATTTGGTCGGCCAACTGCGACATACATATGTTTTCTTTAATTATCATCTCATTTTTTATCCAATTAAATTTCAAATAAAATATTTATTTTACCTTAAATTTATTTAATTTTCTACCAGAACTGCCTAATACATCTTTAAAATTTTCATTTTCATTTTCATAATATTTAATTATGTCTTCCTGTATTTTCTTTGGTAAATTGTTTCGAAATATTTTCTCATTTGGAAAAAATTCATTTTGAATTTTATTAATTTCAATTATTTTTAATTTTCTATAAAAATAAAAGTTTTATATCTCTAGCACTATAATTCAAGGGTGCTTTAGTCTCGTATCTCGTGTCCTCGTGAAATCCCGTATTTTTTTGAGATCTCGTTTCTCGTGAATCTCGTGTCTCGTATTTTGTAAGACTAGCGCCACCCCTGCTGTACATACATAAACTCTATTTGAAATATAGGTAGTTTTAAAATTTGCTTTACAAATTTTTCCAAGAAAAAGTGTTTCAAAATCCGGAAAACCCAAAACTTAATTCTAAACTTTTTACTCCAAAATTATCACGAGTCCATTTTACTACAGGGATTTAACCAATTTTACGTCTGAGCACATTTGTGTTTTGGCATAATTTTTGATCTTAAATGACGTTATGCGTTATTTTTAGAATTGGAAAATGGCATTTTTGGTGTGCGAACAACACAAAGTTTTTGCGCCCAGCCCAGATTAGAAACACTTTAATAAATATAAACTTTTCATAATCTGAATTATTCTGAGAAGTTTCCACCAATTTTCTTTTACTTCCACTAATATTTACCGATGCTTCTTCTTTTGTTTTTTCAAAATTTTTTATTATCAAAGGTTTTTCATTAACTGATAAATTTTGGTTGGAAACTTAAAATAAATTTAATTTAATTTTATTATAAATATTATAATAATTCCTACAAGAATCCTCTCCAGGCGTGTTAAACACTTTATTTATTAAAATCAGCAATAATAATAATAAATTAATTAACATATCCTTTTTAGATTTTATTTTAAAAATAAATAATATTTATTTAAATTTTTAATTATGGCGGTAGATTGTAAAGTAAAATTATGAAATATTTATTTCATAATTCTTGCATCATTATTAATTTTATAGACAGGCAAATAAAAATAAATTTAAAAAGGTCAATGTACTTTTATCTTTGAAATTTTATAGGATATTAAAAAATGCTTTACAATGAAATGTAAATATTTTAAAATTTATTTATTAAATAAAGAGTTGGAGGCACGGTCCGTTCCCAAAAATCGAGTCGGGCATCGAATTTTGGCCCAAAAAACTCGATAAAAATTGGGGTCCTAATTAAATAACTGTAATTAATTAAATAACCAGCCCTAATTAAATACAACTATTTTTTATGGTGGGAACAGTTGTGTTAATTTTCTTTGATAAACTTATTTGGAAGTTGAAAAATCGTGAAAATTTCAGGTGGTCCTAAATATTATTTTTTGTTACACTGTATTCCTTTTAGCTATTTTTTGTTGGTCACAATCTAACTTTTATAATGTCATTGTGAATGAAAAGTTAATAAAATTATTAAAGTCTATTTGTCGCCAATTTGGCGACTTTCATTGAATTGTCTTTTAGTTAATTGTCCCCCGTTCACTTCTCGTTAATTTTTTAGCCGTTCACCCCTAATTTTTTGTTGTCCACTCAATCCTTTTTCCCGCCAAAAATTCCTTTCTTTATTTTTTAGTGACAGCTTGTTCCTGTCACCTCATTACTCTTTCTTTTGTTTTTTCTGCTTGTTTTCTCTGCCCCATTCTTTCTACACATTTTGTTTTCTATAATTCTGTAGGAATTATTTTCAATTTCGCAATTTTTTGAGTTTTTTGTCAAACCCCGCCCCTTTTTAATCTCTATTTAAGTCGGCGGGCAAGCCTTAAAATTTATCCTTCATCCTTCCATTCTACATCTATTTTACGGATCAACTTAGTGGCTTGCCTGTGGACTTCTCATTGGCCTTATCGTGTTCAATTGTTGGATTTTTTATTTGTGGAATAAATTTTACTTGCTTGGACTGTGCGTGGTTCCTGTGGTGTTTTTAAGAGTGAACCAACCGTGCCCTGGTTCACTACTTGGTCCACTGAGTCGACTGTTCTAAATCAGTGCTCAGTGTGAATTCTCGTTCTTGGTGGATTTTACTCGTCGTGTTCAACTGGTCTTTCTTCGTGTTTTTGGTTGTAAAAAAGTGAACGGCACTACTGTTCACCACGTCTACTCCTTGGCTAAAGTGACTCGTGCTCCGAGTCACTCTACTGCCCTTCTCCTTTGACTGTTGGCACTACCAACAGTCTGGTGCCAGTGCCACTCTACACTGGCTGGTGCCACGACTCTCTTTTTCTTCAAAACCAATTTGTCGGGAACTCCCGACTCCCGACAAACTGGTGCCACGACCCGGGACCGCCGTCGTGGAACAACATCTACTACTACAACAACTACACCAACTACTAGTGTGTGAGCTGCACTACAGCCACCACCACCACTACAACAACTTCAATCTTGCGTGTGAACTGAACAACAGTCACAACAACAACCACTACTACAACTACCATTACAACCACCACTGAACCACCGCAATGTCAGGAGTAATTCGTCTACAACTATCAACCGTGTTGGCAACAGTGAAGGAAAAAGGCCGTGTTGTTCTTACTGGATTGGATGCTCTGGACACCACTGCGGAAGAAGATGACCGTCTCGAACTGGAAGCAATCCAACTGAGAGAAGCTGCTGGACGAGCACAAGCACTGGTGGATAAATGGTCTGATTATATTGCCCGACTCCCCCCAATGCAGCAACAAGCGGAAATGGATGTTCTCCAAGCCTTCCCTCCGCCGAGAGGCGAGGTGAGAGAGAACGATGAACTCACGGTGCTGGCGCAAGTCGAGCGCTCTCGTGAACTGGTGGTCCTGGTCAACGGATGCTTGCAGCAACGAAGAAACGGCGGTCGTGGTTCAGTCTCCTCCCAACGAACTGGAAAGTCTGCTACAGAGGTGGAGGACCAAACTGGCAATGAACGACAACAGACGCAACCCACAATAGTTAATGGTCAACAAAGTTACTCACCTGAACATCCTGATGGATTTACACGACGTCCAA